TGGCTGCCTGTATGAGATTGATACGATTGGATACTGTTAGTCTCTAAATTTATGCAATAATGGTCATACCAGTGATTGCGAAGCTTGTTTGCACGTTCTTCCTCTCTGTTATTTTCTCTACTTGACAATTCTCCCATCAGTGTAACTGCGAGATCAAGATCTGTAGGTGTGGGCTTGTAGCTTTCAATATCGACCAAAAATTCGTAGAATATAGGATGAAACAAGTCTATAGGCATGGGAGCAGTATCAGAGGGCCGGCCACAGCGGATAAATGGCATATCCTTGTATCTCTCTTGCAGCTTGAAAAAAATTGACGGATGTGCTGTGGATGATGGTGAGGTGACAATGAATTTGTCTATATACTCTTGTCTGATTTTCTTAACTAGCTCAAATTCAGGTGAACATGGACGTTTCAAATTCGGAATATCAGTATTATTAGGGAGGCCAGAATCTAAAAGTATGGAAGGAGGTCAGGTGAATAATGGTGCTTCAGCAGAGTATCAGTAATGTACCCACAACCAATTTAAGAGGGTAAGGTCACTACTTACCAGGTGGGAGTCCAACAAGGACATGGATGTGCATTTCAGGTGGTTCTGTCTCCCAGTAATGGAAAATCTTCCTCAATGAATTTAGCTCTTCTGTGAGATCAGTATCACAAATCTTTTCTTTATAAGGGATTTCGACCTTCCACAGTGTCAGCTCATCTGCAGCAATGTGGTTGAGCTGTGGTGATTTCTCAGCCTTGATGAGCTTCTTGAGTTTGTCAACAATCATATTCCTGCCAATTTCAACTGAAAATGGCATACCCTTAGGGTAACTCACAAGCTGGCAAATAAGTGTATAAGTGGTGGAAGTCATACTACTTGAATCAAGAGGTGTAATCAGTGAAAGGATTATTAGTACATATACCACTTCAATGATCATCAAAAAATTTACAGACATAGGTGAAAACAAATAATAATATAGAAAAATCACGTGACTGTGAATTTTTGATGGCAAACTTCATGTGACAAATCATTCAGTAATTATAATTGTTGTTGAAACTCAGCAATAAGTCAGATTTTTGTGAACATAGAGTTATTTCCTTATCAGGATCTAAGTTGTGTTTGGATTTAGTTGCAAATTTTACATGTTATACATTATACAGTATTAACTCAGCAACTCAAAATTGGATAAGTTGTAATTTTACAGTTTACACATGTATTTATAATTTCTTCAAAGGTTTGTACATCTAATTAAATGCGATATCTTTATATGTATAAAATACTTAGTAGCACTCATGCCTTCATCAAAGAATTGTGCTTCTATTGATTGCAAGGCCATTTCGGTCACAGACGAGAGTTAGAAGATGAATATCAATTCAATGTTTAGTTCGAAACGCGTAAATTGCTTATGATTATTATATAGCTTGCGTTGTCATATTTTTGTTATTTAATATACTAATATTATGTTCTGGCGGAATATTTGTATTGAATACATACACTCAGTGGAAAAAAGTCAACGGACACTTTATATATTCGAATACTACTCGGGATAATGTAGAATAAAATAATTGTGAATTTTTACCATTAGTTTATATTTAGTATCCATAAATAATTCTTTAATGTAACAGTCGCGAATATTGATGTAAACAAAGTCAATTAATAACAAAGTTTTCTTCGATCTCTCATTTCATTACGTAAAAATTGCGCGAAAATGAGTAACCAGCTTTCAGTTAGGAATAGAAGAGAACTTACTGAATGTGAACGTGCAAAAATTATTACACTTTTAGAAGATGGGCAATCGGTGCGTAAAATATAAAAAAAAAAAACTCGGTTACCCTAAGTCTACTGTTCAAGATACAATTTCCCGTTACAAGACTAAAGAAGGCACCCATAGTGCACCACGATGCGGCCGCCCTTCCTTGCTTGATGAAGATGCAAAAATTATTTAAAGGAAATAGTAGAGAACAAACCACGAATAACTGTTAATGAAATTCAAAAAGACTTTGTTGAATCAGATCTTCAGATATCAACAAAAACAATTAGAACTTATTGCCATGGATTCAATCATCGCCGTTATTTTTTCCAACAAGATAATGCGCCCATCCATACTGCCAAAGACACAAAGGACTGGATGTCTCAGAAACAGGTTAAGGTTCTCAAAGTGGCCCGCACAGTCACCTGATCTAAACCCGATTGAGAATCTATGGGGTGAACTACAAAGAAGAGCACGAAAACGAAATTTACGCCCCGCAAATAAGCACTAATTATATGTGCCATTAAAAGAAGAGTGGGAAACTATTCCCAGGAAAACCTATAAGACGTTGATCGATAGTATGCCTAGACGTGTTCACGAGTGTATTGAGAGGTGTGGGGGTCCAACAAACTATTAAAAAATATTCCCATTTTGCATTAATGTTTAAATAAATAAAGTGTCCGGTGACTTTTTTCCACTGAGTGTAGCTATTGTACACTACCTGTACATGAGAATTACATTAATAATGTTATTGATATTAATGGGGACGTAGTGACATAGTTAGAATATGGAATGGAATTCTCGATACTATAGTAATAGCGATAAAAATACATTTATTTCTAAAAGTTAGTAATCTATCGTTTAGCACGTAGCTTGACAATAAAGCCATTGATTTACTTATGATAACAAAACTGCGGCCTGACCTTCTGGTTATAGTGAACCGGATCTAACGAAATATTAGCAAGATTTTGTAGTTTAAAATCAGTTTATTTCATGGAATTAACGAATAAGATTGGTAATTTTTTGAAAGGAAGAACTGTTATCGTTCAGCTGAACCGCTTACGAATTGATCTTATAAGACGCGAGGTCTGTTTAAATGTATTGAACAATATGTTACGCATGGTAATGGTTGGTTAATTATGTTAGAAATTTCTAGTCAAGCTGATAAATTAATTTTTGACTTATCCGAATTTAGTTTGACATCGAATACAAGAAAAATGGCGAAATCGGTTGTTTTGCCTAAAAATTGCAAGTCGTTCTCATGCTATCCGATCTAATGTAAACAATGATTTATTGTACTCGGATATAACGAAAATAAAGGAAGACACTTATGCCAATCAAAATCTTACACATCAACTTTTATTTAATACATATCGTTTGTTATACATTATTGTGGGTTTATACGGTCAATTTATTTACCAGGAATTATACGAGCAATGCACTCGCTTGAACGTTATATTTACATTACAGTATCGTATCATTTAAAGCAACATAACATTTGTTATAAAATCCCGTTCCTTCGTAATGCTCAACTTGTTCATTTTCGGTTGAATAAATTCGGGTCAACCTCGAAACCTCGAACGTTTACATATCCAAAATTTAAGGAATGTAACTCAATACAACGACCGAGCATCGGCTTGACGTAGAAATTCTCCCATACTGTTGACCAAAATTCCGGTAAAAACCGTTTTGCCGGCCGTAGATGAAATTTACACGATGCATCTTTTAAAACACTATTGTAAGTAATTGGTATGTTAAACACCTTGAATTGTTGTAAGGATTTCCGTACATGGAAGTGCAATGTGGTATTTGGTGGTAGAATATATGCGTGTGTTTGAGCTAATTGCATACTTTTAGTACAGTGTCATTCGTATCTATAAGAATTCGTAATCGTAATAGTGATGGCAAGTATTTACACGTGTACTGTTCTTAGAAAATTTTAACGAGCAGGGAAAAATAACGATTATATGATAGTCGGTGAGCAACGTGTTGTGAAAAAAGTCAGGTCTAAGCACAATGACATTTTAATACCTAGATTATTCAGAATGCAAACATGACTAATAATAGCTGAACTTTCGTAGGTTAATTTCATAATATGAAACAGTATACTTCTGGTGTCGCTAATATGGTATTACACTGTGTTCTTAACGGAGATGGTGCATGCATTATAGTGATTTGTTGACGGTATACAAAAAAACGCGAAATGCTGTCGAGGCCGACAGTTTATTGTAATCGATTTGACTAGAACAAAGAAAACTCCCTTTTCATAGAATATAATTCAAGTTCGCAAGACATTTTTTCCCCGACTCATGTAACTGTAACTTCTTTCTTTTATCTCACAACATAAGCTTTCATTGGCTCTGGCACATTCCTATTTTTATATTATACCTGTCACTGTGAAAAACAATGATGAATCTGCCTCAATTTAAATTTTGATTACATTTACCATCTTCCAATGATTCACGTCAAGTAAAAGCTGCTGGGTCAGAAGGATGGTCACCAATCTCAATGACAGAGTGGAGTGACCAACATTGAAAACTGATTTCTAGTTGGCAGTGAGGAGGCTTTCTAACGAGGGTCTAGACCATCACCTTTCCTTTCAATCATATAACCAGATCACTTATATCTTTGCCAGCATAAACAAATTGGTCAAAGAGTCAATAAAGTGAGCTTTTCTTGCTAGGGAAACTGCTAAAAACAGGCAGAATAATTATTTGAGAAAACGTATTAATATATCCAGGTCATAATTTAAGTGAAGTGTTTAAAGACTTGTTATTGGATATAAGAGGCTTCGCCTCCTCAGCACAACAATTACATGACAAACTGTGCACAATATGGAAAACATATGGATTGGATGAGATAATTCCTTTTGATTAATTAGTAAACTGCGTAGAATGATACTAAATAGAGAATTACGGTTTAACTTTTATTTATGGTATATCGCAGGATGGAAAATTATTCTGAAATGCTCAACGCTCAAACCCATTACTGTTTATTATATAGATAACGAAAAACAGCTTTGAGATGCAAATTGTATATACTCGCAATAATAAAGAGTACTGTTTCCTAGAGTTCCCACTGGTTGAGCGTTGAGGTTATTCAACGAGAAAACGATTAAATAAAAAACGACACTTTTTAAGAAAAGTTAAAATTCTAAACTGAAACTGACTAAAACAATATATTTATGTTTTAGATGAGCAAAAAATATCAGCAATAAAAAGTGATAATACACAGACGGCAAGCAACTACAATTGAAAAGGATTAAGGTTCAGCTGCGCTGCCGCAATGTTGGTTTTCTTGGTAGCCGTTTTTTTTTTAGTTGGAGGCGAAGCCGGAAGGTCCGAGGCGATAGTAACTGTTGAAGATGACCGTGATAATGGTTCGTCATGGGTATTCGTGGTTGTTTCTTCGATTGGCATTTCAATAAATTTTGACTTTTTGTTGAGAGCAAATTTACGAGATGGTGAGCTGAGATCAACTTTGGTTTCTTAATCCCTCCATCCTGGATCCTGATTGAGAGGTGAATTCGAAATGGTAAAGCTCACAATATAGTTGGTTTTCGCTTACTTCTAATTCACCTGTAACCATTAAAATGGATCCTTTTCTTGCAGATGAGCTTCTCCCTGTCAGTCTCGGTATATTTTTGTTATGCGGACATGAAACGCTCGTGTCAAACCATTTAGTTCCGTCTCTATATTTTCCTACGAATTGTTTGATCGTGACGTTGAACGCCCAGTAATCTTCTTGCAATTTGAGTTGTTCGTTTAGGAAACTCATGCACATTACGTAGGTGGTATTGCGTGGAAGGGATTTATCATCGTAGCATGTTGGTTGACAACATCTGAGTATCCTCGTTGTATTAGCAAATGAATTTTATACATACATTTTGGTGATCGCTCCAAAAATTCTAACATCTTGAGACGGTTTATATATTGACGTTTATGTCGCGACACCGTTATAGCCTAGATCGTATTAATATATACAACGAAGGATCCTCATCATCGCTTACCCACTTCATTCATTCATACATACATATACACACCACCATTTACTTCCCGATCAGTACCTCTACCATACAGTTGCAAATATTGTACTCTGCGGAAAATCCTAAACTGATTTCTTCCAAACCTCCCACCAATCCAGTACATCCTCCTAACAAAACACCTGTAGTAACACCGATAACCCCATACCTAATATTCCTTTGTTTCTGCTTCTCCTTTTCAGTCAATGCAACGGACGGCTTCTCTCCATTCTTCGTCTTGCTCACTGCTCCCAATAACGCACGCGTTGCTGCAGGAATACCGCTTACCACATGATAAACCCCAAAACAAATAAGCGCAGTCGTGATCAGATACGAGGCCAAGGTAGCATATGTTGCATTGATCGATGACGAATCGCCAAGTTCTCGCTTGGGTATGGCCGCAAGAGGAAACAACAGGTATCCGGTTAGAATATGGAATGGAAGTAACAAAGCACTCGCTCGAGAGAGGTAAGAGCTGGTGATTGTCATTGTTGTTTTGGTGGTAATCTTTGTCTAACAACAACTCTTGCTCATTCGTCTCGTCTTCCACAATCTTTTCTACTTTCTCATATACTTCTCCATACAACTTTCGTACATCGGCCTTTCCATATTTCCAATACAGCTTTATTCCTCTTTAGCTAATCCTGATAATACATATCCCCCAGAAGGCTCCAAACACAACAATGGGTTCAAGCAGTCGATTTGATAAAAGACGCGACCAAGAATGATGGCTTTATTTGTCGCCAAAGTTGGCTAATGCAATGCCTGATAAATGCGTTACCAAGACGGTGGAAAAGACGATAGCAGCGCCAGATTGAACGATCGTGAGGTACCCATACGCTTGATCGCCAACCGACACATCCAACTTTGACAAGGAATCGAAGCTTGGTCAAATCTGGGCGCAAACGGCGGCGGAGGAAGGGTGGGTCTTCCACTTGTTAATGATAAAATTTTTGACCCGTTTTAGTTAGTTTGATGGTTATCGAGAAAAATTTTGTCTACTAACAACAATGGAAATCTTCACAGTCAACCCATTAATTACTCAGGCGGGAGCACCGTAACCTTATCTCCTGGGTCTGGTAATACTGCTTCAAGTGGCATTACCGGGAGCGGGCTCTCTCAGCAATCCGTAATCGAAAATGATTTCTTCTCGAGAAATTACTTGAGAATTCAAAGTTTTTGGTTGATACACGCCTTGTATCTCTTGCAGTGGAATACCAGGAGACTCTACTCTTATCGTGAAAGGTGACTACGAAATGAATGAAAATCAGGGATATTAATCAGCACAGCTAATTAGCTTTACGATTGTTTCGGCTTCTTTATCTAACTGTAAAAGTAATATTATATAATCAATGATTAGAAATCGGACGAGAATTCGTTTGCTATTGAAAAACACGATTCGCTTCGCTACTCAATATGCCTCGTTTGATCGTGCGCGAATCTCTTGGCCTGGGATTTGGTAATGTTCCATTTGATAACAAACCAATCACCCACCGGCACCAAATCCTTACCCAAGCCTGTAAATCAATGGATGCCATTATAACTTTGGCAATGTTGCATCTAGCGAAATTGGATTGGGAAAAGACAAATGCAGCTTCAGATAGTGCTATAGGTTCCTACGTAGGAAGTTTGGAGACTGAATAATTGCTTCAGACGTCGGGTTAGATAACCATCACGTCCCATTGCGGTATTTCTTTCGTCGAGCTTTTATGAATTTGTCTTGGTTATTTGTCTTTTGTTAATTCTTTTCTTCTTTTTCTATAGATTAAAGCCCGAGAATTGCTTTATAAAGACATAACACCCCATTCGAACCGGGTACGCGTTAGTCCTGCTCACATGGAGGGATAGGAAAGAGGAAATTGGTGATCATTCAAAGTACAAAGATGACAGGACTCGCTCGGTCATTTGGGCAACAGATGGGTGATTTGAATATTAGTCACTATATATAGCAGTTACTTATTATGGAATGTATCCGACTTTATTCAGACAAAGGAGCAGACTTAGAAAAGATTGCGGGTTGGTCTACGAATGGATGATGATATACCAAACAATGCTTCTTCGACCCGCGATATTGAACAAATCATCAGAAAGATATTAATCCAAAAACAATGGATGTTATTATTGTTGCACATAGCTAGTATTTACTCAGACTCTTGGCTAGAGGTTAAGCATGGTGCAGACCAAACATTATAATTATTTCGCACAGTTGATATGAACAGACCATTATGGTTGGCACGCGTGTATGGCAATTTTATTTCTGCTATTGGATGCCGTTAAACTTGTATCGTTACAATATTGTGAAAAGAATGGCAATAGATCTTTGAGGGAATGAGTGGGTTGATGATTCATCACGTAATGACCAAAGATTTTAGTTCTTATAGAAGTTTCTTCAATGGGAGGATTTCGAGCAGGTGTGGGATCTGCTTTTATCGCGTCTCCAGGATTCTTGTCTGCATTCTAGTCACTTGAGGCTATTGCATCTATCAAGGCCTTATTGGCTGAAAGAACTGGTTTGGGTATGAAAACAATATCAGGAAGCATGCATCATCCGGCTGGTGCTGAAATGCTTTGAACTGAGCTCGAATGTTGCTACGTATTTTATTCAGGAACGCATTACCAATTTCATAAACATTAGTCTCAAGATTTACTTTTTAATAAATATTGTATCATATTTTCTTACATAGTCAAATGATTTACCCCGGCAAAGGCAGCTAGTAGTAAATGTGCACGATTTTATTTCGGCATCTTGTTAACTCAACCATATTGACATGTGTGGAAGCAATTGTATAATTCGAGCCTTTGAATAAAACTCATATAACCAAATAAGCCAAGTTCATTCAAAAAAGAGTTTGAGTCTCTAAATTATAAGAAATGCACGGTGTTAATATTGTAAATTGACTTTATTTATCAATGTGTAACCATACCTGGAGCTGAATCCATATCATAGCTATTTCTTGGTTTAGGCAGATCTCCAGTAGGTAAGAGCATACTAGAATATTTACTCTCCTTCTCGAGACGTGATAAGGGTTTTACATCATTATGATAAACGGCGTTCCATATGTCAGAATTGTCGTTTTTCACCTTTCTAATAAGATCGATAATATCATTCCAATAAAGTGTGTTTGCATCTGGACGCTTATCAGGATCAGCATCACAACACCACTCGGCAAGTTTCTTGTATTCCTCTGGTGTGGAATCAGGCATTGATGGTCGTAGTCCGCCCATAATGTTGCATACTAAATCTCTATCAAACTGCCTATCTCTAAAAGGTGGTTCACCAGTAGCAATCAAATACATAATGATACCAAAAGAGTATACATCTGATTTCTGAGTAAATTTGCAGGTATCGAAGACTTCCGGTGCAATAAAGGGTAAAACGCCTCGGATGGTTGAATTTGACTGACGTGAATTCACCGATTGAGAAAGACCAAGATCGCATATGAATGGTCTACTATCATGTGAAACAATGTTTCCGCCGTGAAGATCACAATGCACTAATCCCGTAATATGAATATTATGCAGATAACGTGCAATATAATACAAATGCCGTAATTTATCCCTCCACGTCAAATTGTTAATATGTTGATCCAAATAAGACAAAAGACTACCATTGTTAGCATATTGCATAACAATCATGTACTCTTTTGTTTTTGTGTCTTGTGTGACGCCATAAATTTTAAGGAATGAATATTCACTTGCGCATTTGGCATGATTTCTGAACTATTAAATACAGAGTCAGATTAAATATTACTTTAATTAATACTACCAATTATTGCTTACCTCGGAAATAAATAATCCCGGCATTTCATCAAAACTCTTTATCCGTTTGAGTACAACAGTTTCTGCCATATACTCTACTTCTGAATAGTTTCTATATTTGGCAGTATAAACTTTTCCATAACCACCAGATCCGATCTCATTAAGTTCATAAAAGTCGCCATACTGCATGTAATCAACAAATTCATTATTTTGTATGAACCTGTCCAATATTGCATGTACGTCGTAGTAGAAAACTAAATAATATTCCCGAGATGGCTCCCGAGTGATACCAACTATCCAAATATTCTCGGGTGTTAATATGTCGGGGTATTCCTTCATTAGCTATTTGAGTAAACAAATACAGTCATTACAACACTGGTCAATTTACACACGTTAATAATTTTACACGTGAAGTAATTTACCTGATGAAAATCAAATAATTGATCATCTCCTTCATCAACTATCTTTTTGAGTGTCACACGTACGTATGTCAATTCATTTGTTCTCCATTCTGCTGTATGTGTGCATCCATGGCGTAATGATGTCATTTCTCGTACATTCATTAATAGAGAGTATTCTATCCATTGTATATACGCATCATATCTACTCTTTGTATTACTCCACGACTCCATAATAAATGAATCCAAAGATTCATTGCCCGTAGTCCAATTGACAGGTTGTGGTACTTTACAATCATAACAGAATGTATTTATCGTAGGTTCTAATCGCTCCATACACGCCAGACATAATCCACATCCCCAATATTCCTTTATTAGGCAATACTTTCCCCATCTATATGTGAATCCGATGGTAACCCAAACATCCGTGGTAAGAATATCTGGATGCTTATCACATAACTAGTGAAAAT